ATCTATCTATCTATCTATCTATCTATCTATCTATCTCTACCTACCTACCTACCTACCTACCCACCCATCTACCTATCTATCTAACCCCCCCCCCCTCTATTTATATCTGTGTGTGTATGTGTTATGAGAAACAGTGGTGGCATTCAAAAAAATTTATAACTGATTCTGTGGCTTGGTTGGTGTGGCAGGGGAAGGATACTGCAAAATTCCCATTTCCTCCCAATCAGCTGGGAGGCGGAGAATAGATGGGGCGGAACCAGCCAGAGGTGGTATTTGCCGGTTCTCCGAACTACTCAAATTTTCCGCTTCCGCTTCTCCAGAACTGGTCCGAACCTGCTGAATCCCACCTCTGATGAGAAGTGATAGTGGCCCTATATACAGGTTAATTCTTGATTTACAACAGTTCATTTAATGACCATCTGAACTTACAACAACATCGAAAGGAGGTGACTTCTGACCATTTTTCACATTTAAGGCTGTTGCAGAGTCCTCCTGGTCACGGGGTTTTTGCATTCGGATCCTTGACAACTGGTTCATATTTATGATGGGTTGCGGTGTCCCAAGGTCAGATGATCCCCTTTTGCAATCTACTGACCAGCGCAGTCAATGGAGAAGCCAGATTCACTTAACAACCAGCTGACTAACTTAAACATTGCAATGAATCATTAAACAACTGGGGCAGTACAAGTTGTAAAATGGGGGGGAAATCACTGAACAAATTTCTCACATAGCCACATAAATTTGGGCTTCATTGTCATGTTGAGTACTTGGATACACACACACATAAGCATACACATACATGAATACACACAAGGATATATACACATGTATACTGTATATACACACATATTAGGTTATGTATGTTTGTGTATGTATATTTAAAAAATATACGTATGTGTGTCTGTGTACATATATATGTGTGCGTGTATGTATATGTGTGAGGGATGCGGTGACTCGGTGGCTAAGACGCTGAGCTTGCTGATCAGAAGGTCGGCAGTTCAGCGGTTCGAATCCCTTGTGCTGCATAATAAGGTGAGCTCCCGTGATTTATCCCAGCTTCTGCCAACCTAGTAGTTCGAAAGCACGTAAAAAATGCAAGTAGAAAAACAGGAACCACCGTGCGCCTTCAGCATTGAGCCAGGTTGGTCACATGATCCCGGAGACATCTTTGTACAGTGCTGGCTCTTCGGCTTTGAAACGGAGATGAGCACTGCCCCCTAGAGTCGGGAACGACTGGCACATATGTGCGAGGGAAACCTTTACCTTTACCATATGTATATATGTTTATTTATATGTGTTTATATGTGTGTGTATGTGTGTGTATGTGTGTGTACAGAGAGAGAGACAGACAGACGTAGAGATAGCTATGGATATAGAATTAGAGATATACCGTAGATGTAGATATAGATTAGATGTAAATATATATGGATGTAGTTATAGATAATACAGAGTGCCTAATACAAAATTAGAACCCGGAATGCAGAATAAATACAGAATGCAGGACGCAGATCCCAGAAGGCAGAACCTAGAATAAATAAGAGTACAGAATGTACAGTAGAACGTAGAATACACCGGGCAGAATGCAGAATGGAGGATAAGAGTGTTGGAAGGCACCTTGGCGGACTACCAGATCTGATCTATGCCAGGCTCCCATCCATTAATAGCGACTGCCAGGTACGTAGCCTGGATATATATGCCAGCGTGGCATTCAGGAGCTGCAGACAAGAGTTGAATTCAAGATGCCCAAGCATTGGGGCACTGAAGCCGGAATGCAGAACGGGTTTGAAGCACCAAAGCCAGTTCCTTTTAAGATTCCCTTTCCCCTGTCTCCATCTCCCCCATCAAACCCATCTGGCTAAACCAGTTTGCTAGGACGATTAAAGCTGGCCATTCAGGATCTCTCCAAACCTGTTGGACAAGTGGACATTTTATTAGTGTCGACTTACAGCTGCACCCTCCTTCCAATGTCAACATCTGGCTGCGGACTGGCGTATTAAGAAGGAACGGGAAGCTTTTGTAAGATTGAAATTGCCTTTAGCCAGAGTTATTAGATGGGCCTTTGCTGGTTAGCTGTAATAAGTGGTCCTGCCTTCAGGTGCTTTGGAGAATAGGTTGAACCCCGCCCCCCTTCTTTGGGGCAGCCCCTGAGATACTGGAAGACTGCTATCCTGTCTCCCCTGGTCCTTCTTTTCATTAAACTAGACATACCCAGTTCCTGCAACCGTTCTTCATATGTTATAGTCTCCAGTCCCCTAATCCTCTTTGTTGCTCTTCTCTGCACTCTTTCCAGAGTCTCCACATCTTTTTTATATTGTAGTGAACAAAAGTGAATACAGTATTCCAAGCGCTGCTATCACTTTAATTAATCAATCAGAATAGAGCTAGAAGGGACCTGCCCCCAGCTCAAGCAGAATACCCTATATACTATTTCATATAGAGATGATGATCCAGTCTCTTCTTAAAAAATTCCAATGATGAAGCACCCATAATTTTGGGAAGCAATTTGAAGGGGTCTCATTCTGTATTATACACTCCTCTGAATTCTGCTTCCAGGGTTTTGCATTCTGTATTAGGCCCTCTGTATTTCACATTCTGCGTTTATTCTGCATCCTTTATTACGCACTCTATTCTGTATTCTACATTCTGTATTTACTCTGCATTCTGGACTTTCTCTATTCTGCATACTGGGTTCTGCATTCTCTATTCTGCATTCTATTCTGTATTCTACAATCTGTATTCTGCATTCTATATTCTGGGTTCCCTATTCTGCATTCTGTATTTATTTTGTGTTCTAAAGTCTGGATTCTGCATTCTGTATTATGCACTCTATTCCGTATTCTATATTCTGCATTTATTCTGTATTCCTGGGTTCTCTATTCTGGGTTCTGGGTTCTGCATTCGGTGTTACCTTCTCTGTACTGTATTTATTCGGCATTCTGTATTCTGCATTCTGTATTCTATTCTCTGCCTTATGTATTCTGTATTTATCCTGTATTCTGCATTCTGTATTCTAGGTCCCCTCATGAAACCCTCATGGAAATGTACTGTAGGAAACCAGATTTGCTTAATTCACTTAACAACTGCGGTGGTTTGCTTAATATCCATGGCAAGAGAGGTCGTAAAACGGGATGCACACCACTTCATGGCCTAGCTTAGCAATGTAAATTGTGGGTTTGGTTGTGGCCGTAAGTCTAGGACAATTAACCCACATTGTATTAATGAAACAGAGATGTAGGTCCAGAAATATACTGTAAAAACCACAACAGACAAAAGATCAGCTTACAACCACAGGTTTAATTGGAATTTTTATTTTTCTCATTTCAAACCACTTATCGCAAAAAATGTACTTATCAAATCATTCAAGTCCCTAAAGACAGATCTGGGGAAAAAATCAGTAGTATCAAGGCCTTACAGTAAAATCAAAATTTTATCTCAGTCAAATCTAATTTTATCAATGTTAAAAGAACACAAGTACCTTGCTTTTTTGCGAGCTATAAAACAATTTAAAAACTCACCAACCATTATTGCTTTCTGAACTTTTACTTACAAACAATGCCGTAGCTAAAATTAAAAAGATTGCCAGTGCAAATTCTCCGCACAAAAAAAAATATTTACAAAATTTTAACAGACACGCGTGCCTGCTATTCCGAACAATTATTGCAAATTTGCTGCTGGGGGGTCTGTGCTTTTGAGCACAGCAAAACAACACCTTTTTATTGCATATTTTCCTTGCAATCAACTTTATAAAGCTGGGACATCTTCTATATACTAAATGGATTTAGAACTATGCATAGTTAAAATATTCTATATAGATATATATATATATATTGGCCCCTCTGGGTTTTCTGCTCAGCAGGCAGAATTTCTCCCAAAATCTATTTTAAACTAGGCACATATACAAGTTTTGCATTTTAAAAATATGGATTTTTTAAAAAAAAAACGTGCGATAAGGCAAACAGGCGAAAGGAATAATTGCATAGCTAACACGGCCGTAATTCACGTGACACCTTCTGCCAGTAGCCAAGGCCACTTGTGAGTTTTCAAGACACAAATTTTGCAAGTTTTAATCCCCACCAACTCAGTGCTAAAGCATCAAATAATTTTATTGGCATAGCCATAGACAGAAGTGCATAGGACAACCTAGGTAAACCAAGGTATTTTCTTCCCTAATAAATCAGACAATTTGATTGCGTTTGTCTCAGGCTATCAAATCCCAAAAGAAAAAACCCAGAAGCTTTTGTAAAAAAAAGATTAAGAGAAGGAAAGGAGGACCGTTTTGCCCTATCACCAAAAGTCCTCCTGAACGAAGTTCCTAAAATTTCACCCCCTTAGGAGAAATTCAAGCGACTTAATTCTAGAGTTATGTCTTATTTCTGGTGAATAATTGCAAAAATTCTTTACTGTACTCCCAACCCTGCGAGTGAAAACGGATCGAAAATATTCTTTCCTCTCCATCACCTTCACATTAACAAATAATCTTAAAAATATATATATTTTTAATCAGCACTTGATTTGAAAGCTTCCTTCCATCTCTGTCACCTATGTACTGAAAAATAATATTTAAAAATCTATTTACTAGATTATTAGACTAGAAGACCTCCAAGGTCCCTTACAACTCTGGGATTGTTCTTTCTTCTGCTCTATTGACAGTTCATAAAAAATTTCCTGAACCTCTGACATTGAAGGCTGATGATGACTCATCTATGCTTTTATGGTGATGTTTTGAAATTTTCCTGTTTCTCTTTTAGCCCCGCCAAGATCGAGCTGTGAAATTCCCTTTAGTTTAATATAAAAAATTTAAAAATTTGGCCACCACCCGGATTTGGTTGGCGAGGGCATTTGGATATTTGGCAAATGGAATTAACCATCCAATGTCCTTTTTTTTTAGAGCATTGGTACAAGTTACGAGATTTCAACCTTGGGAACAAACAAGTCCTCACGGGTTACTACCACTCCTTACTCACGGATCTGCCACGTAGCTAAGGAGGACGTAGAACGCCGCCTTAAAACCCCAGCTCAAGATAAGTAACCTTTTCAAAGGAAAGTTTCTAGGCCTCAAGGAAAGCAAAATGTTTATCATAAGGTGTGATGCATGAAGAACCTGGCCACAATTTCCCCCTCCCTCTGCCTTAAAAAGGGATTGATTGTCTAAACAGGCAGAGTTGGTTAATCCCAGGTTTTTTCCACATACAATAATAATAATAATAACTTGCAAACTGGAGCTTTTGAAATTTAGCATTAATGTTTTCTGGCTTTTATCTCATTTAAAACTGGCTTTATTTCTGCCTGCTTTCCCAAATCAATTTCACATTGGGATTGATTAGAAATATTAACCAATCTTTTATTGCTTTTTAATTTCCCCTTCCCCCACAGAAGGCCCTAGTTGCGCTCTTATTAAAAATGAGTGTTTAGAATATTTCAGTCTTCCACCAAACATTTGTGTAACCAATTTACACAAACACTAAACTCTCCTTTAACCAATTTAATCACGACACAAATGCTAGCCCAACAATTGGTTACCCAATTTAAACAATCTACCCAGTTTAACCAAACACTAGTGAAATTCTTGTTTAACCCATTTAACTAAACACTAGTTAAATATTTGTTAAACATTAAATCTAACGAGGAGAGAGGTGTGTTGAGCGAAAGAGAGGAATTAAAACTCCGTCCTAAAATAAGGAATTCCCTAATTCCGTAAGTTTCATTTCGGCACATTTGTTAAAGCATAATTCTTTATAGTTTTTCCCAAACTTTTGAGATGCGTGGAGTTCAACTCCCCAGAATTCCCCAGCCAGACACATTGAAGTGGAATCATGGGAAGTTGTTGAAATGGATTTCTGGGAGTTGAAGTCCACACATTTTAAAGTTGCCAAGGTTGGAAAACATCACTTGAAAGCAATGCTTGTGATCCAGCTTCAGAAAAACCTCAACTTTGTAACTTTGCTCATCCTTTAGCAAATCTTAAAAACGGAACAATTATTGTGCTGTCCTTAGTTCCCTCGAATTTAGCCCATTCCCGGGACGGTCCCGAGGATCATAGTCCGTGCAGAATGAACACACTTCAACTTGTGTTCGAAGTGTCGTTGCGTTCTGCCAATCTCTCAGTTTAGGAAAAAAAGGCACTTTTTAACCAACCAATCAAGATTTCATCTGGAAATCTTGACAATTTCAAGAGGCCCAAACTTTAGATTTGCCAGGAATTATGTTTTTAGGCCACGATCCGGGTCTATTTTTCGAACCTCCAGAGCTGGTTTTTATCTGACGGATTACACGTCCTCATGATTACGTCCGCGCGACCCTCTGGTGTACGGTAAGCGCTCAGACATTTGGCGGAGTGTGGGTGGAAGATTGTGCCATCTTCTTTAAAATGCCATATTATGACTTCCGGCACGGGGGACTTATCCTTCGGACAATTTCTCATGCCGACGAAATCCTTCTGCTCTGGCACTTCGGCGCAGAGTTCGGTCACCGAGTTGAAACGGATTTCCAGGTTGGACGTGTATTCGAAGAATTGGTTGCCGCCTTGGCCATGGCATCCGAAAAGGCTCAGGTGAGCCCCCGTGGGATTGTGTTCTGGCGAGTTGTAATCCAAACATTCGGAAGAGATGCCCAGGTTGTGGATGGCGCCATGCCAGCCTGGCCGATCCTCCGGGACGTGTAAATTGGGGAAGACGGTTTTTAAATACCAGTCGAAATTCTGACACTCCAGACGCTGCCGTAATAGTTTCCGTTCGGTGAGGTCGCCAAAGTTCTCCTTACGCGCCGGAGGATTCCGGTTGTAGAAATGTTCTTTGTAGTGGTCCATCCAGACTTCGGCAGCCCGGGCGGTGTTCTGTAGAAAGTTAGGCCTGGCGTACGGGGCCCGTTTCGGAAAGACGTGTCCAACGTGGGAACACGGGTGGATTTCCAAGACACCGCCGCACTGCCAGACACGGAAAGAGAGTTCCAAGTTCTCACCGCCCCAGACGTCCATACCAGTGTCGTATGTGCCAAGGTACTCAAAGTATTTCCTGCTGACGGCAAAGAGGCCGCCGGCCATGGTGGGGGATCGGATGGGATCTACTTTGGACTTCCGGCGCCGCCTCTCGTAGGGAGGAACCACCTGCCACTGAAAGGTGAGCCGCCAGTCGAAGCCACCAATCATGGGCTCGCCGGATTGCATGTAAAACTCGAACGTATTCCAGTCGATGGTGTCGATCACCGGACAGACGACGACGGAATCGTTCTGGGCGATGCGTTCTAGCAAGGGCTCCAGCCATCCAGGGACGCACTCGCAGTGGCAATCCAGGAAGGTGAGGACTTCGCCGGTGGCGAAGGTGGCTCCGATCAGCCGGGCGCGCACCAACCCTTCCCGCTTCTGGGTGCGGATCAGGCGCACCCGGGGCAGGCGGCTGAGGTAGGCCTCCAGCTCACTCTTCAGGTACGCCCGGTCGCTGAGATCGTCCACCAGAATGATCTCCTTCAGCACAACGGCCGGGCTGGTTTCCAAGACGCTGTGCACTGTCCTCAGGAGGGTGGACCAGGCCTCGTTGTAGAAGGCGATGACCACCGAGGTGGTGGGCAGCTGGCGGTAGTTGTACGCCTTGGCTTTGCACTCGGACATCCGACCGTCCTGGATGTGACGGTGCAGCGAGATGCGGTCGCTAAGGTAGACGTTGATGGCATAGCGCTCCACCAAGCGTTCCTCCTGGCTCTTCTGCTCAGCATCCAAGGTCAAGTGGGATGCTTTTCCCCACTCTCCAGGCGCGGAGGGATCCGGAGGGGGTTTGGCCTGGACGGGTTGGGAAAGTTGCTCAGGCAGTAGGGAGGAAAGCACCCCGGTCGTCCCTCTTCTAGCTCGGGCGCCCGTGGGCGACCCGAAAGGAGGCATAGGCAGCTGGAGAGCTAGCAAAGCCACCGCGCTCAGCAAACCCAAAATAGCGCAGCCCCGACGGGACAGCCGGGCTCGCATGGCCGAGGAGAAGGAGGAGAAGAGGCGGCCGTAGCAGCGAGGACGATCGCAGGAGGAGGCGGGAGGAGGAGGAGGCACCGCCGCCTCCTCCCCCCCTCCGCCCGCCCAGCCGGGGCGCGCCCGGCTGTTCCATACGCGGGGTTGTGGTGCGCTTCGCTTCGCTTGCATGCGTGCTTATTCCTTGCTGCAGGGCTGCGCTCCGACGGGTTTTGGGGCGCTGGGGAGGGGGAGGACAGGAGGGAGGAGAAGGGGGGCTTGCCTCGCGTCTTCTTTCCAGGAAACCCCCCCCCCCCAGCGCCACCCCTGATGGAAAAAGGGGAGCCAGCCGAAGCCCTGCGGGGACCTCGGGAGAAAAAACGCCGCGAGCGGGGGGGGGGAGAGTGGCGGGTTTCGAGGTTGGTTTTTGGGCTAGTTTCACGGCGACCTGTTCCTTGCCTACCCATCTATCTATTAACCTATCAATCATCTGTCTTTTATTTATTTTCTATATTTACCTATCAATGTTATTTCTATCTATCCACCCACCCACTTATTATTAATCATCTATATTTTCCTATCAATCATCTATTTTATCATCTATCGTTATCTATTATTTATCATCTATTTACCACCTATCAATATATTTATTATCTATTACTGTTTTTTTTATCATCTATACATTCTTTAGTATCAATCATCTACTTAATCATCTCTCTCTATATATATTTTCAGCATCTTCAATTAGCCTTGTTAACACACACTCTCCCCCCCCCCCATTCATATATATTCAGAAAGACTGATATGCGTATGTATGCACAAACACACACACATACAAATATATAAACTTTTTGAGAGTGGGTATCAGAATTTCATTGTATAATAATGTGTGCCAATGTGTTCACAAAAAAAAATCATCTGTCAATCATCTATTTGTTATCTATCTATCTACTATCTATCACATCCATCTTCTATCTATTTATCTATGTATCTATCTTGTATCTATCACATCNGGAGACAGAGACCCATAAAACTCCTACAAGTGTTTCCAGTTGACAGATCTTTACTAGGATCTGGTTGCAGTCTATCGCCCTCTTGTGGAGTTAGGTGGGAAAAAAACCCACATTCATCAAAATTGGCCTGTAATCCCCAACATTTCCTACCAGGATCAATTTTGAATTGTTTGATTATAACGTTTCACACACACACACACACGCACCACACACACACCACGTGTCCTGAAAAACAGTTTATGTCACGTCCTCATGCCATGTTAATCACATCCCAAACCCATAGGTGATGCATGCTAAAGTCAGCTTTAAAATAAGGAGTGTTTTCTGTCTTCTTCCTGAGAGATTTTAATCATCCATTGCTCACAGGGTTGATAATATGGTTCTGGGTGAGTATTGTCGAGGTCTTTTGGGTAAGTTTAGTATTTGGAATGTATTTCCCTTCTATCTATTAACTACAAGAGCTTTGCACTTGAGCTTCCTGTTCCTGTGCAAAAACATATATTCTATTGGCTGTTGTTAGATTCCCCTGGGCCATGTAGGTGTTATTTAGGAGTCATAGCTGGATCTATAGGGAAAGTACAAATCCTAGGTGTTTGTCTGAGCTAAGTGTAGTTGAAGTTTGGCTTGTTCTGAGGGTGATGCAATAATTCCTATTATGGTTTAATGGCTTCCGTCGTGTTTTGGGTCTTGAGTGAAGAGGTTAATTCCATCATTCTGCCTTTGTTCAGACTATACAGCAGGGAGTTTCACAACATCCTGTCTTTGCTTTGCTATGGATAGAGCCATGTACATACTTGCTTTCCATTTTCAATAAGTCACTGGTGGAGAGAAGGTGGGTTAGGTGGAAAAAACCCACACTCATCAAAATTGGCCTGTAATCCCCAACATTTCCTAAATGGATCAGCCTTGGATCATTTAATTGTACAGTTCATCCCACTTCCACCAAGAAAAAAATTATATCACGTCCTCATGCCGTTGTCACCTCATCCCAAACCCATAGGAGATGCATCCTAAAATCAGATTCAAAATAAGGAGTGTTTTCTGTCTTCTTCTTGGGACATTTTAGCCACCCATTGCTCATAGGGTTGGTAATGTTGTCCTGGCAGAGTGATATATGAGGTCTTTTGGGCCAGTTTAGGCTTTGCTGTGAAATTTCCCTTCCATCTGTTAACTGCAAGGACCTTTGGGCTGGTGTGACAGGGAAGAGCAGATGCTGTGTAACAGGGGTGTCAAACACAATTTCAGTGAGTGTTGCATCAGGGTTGTGTTTGACCTCTAAGAGGGGTAAGTGGCCAATGTGGGCGTGGCCAGCTCCACATCACTCATGGGGGATGCCTGTGGTTCAGCAGCGAGTTTCAATTTATTTCACTAGCGGTTTGCTCGTGCACAGAAGGGTCTGGATGGGTGGGCGGAGCCCCCCACCACTGCCACTACTGGTTCGCCTGATCCGGGGTGAACCAGCAGAAACCCACCTCTGATGGGGTCACCCGTGTGCTCTGCCAACAAAAACAAAGCTCAGAATGCGGCCCTTCCCAGCTCCTCTTTTTCTGGCAGACGGTTGCAGGAGA